AGCGACTTCGTGATGCCAGCGCTGCTGGCTTTTATCGAAGTCCTCTTCAGGATATGCCTGCCCTTCCTTCGAGCGATGGTGTTGAGATTATGCTCGGCGACTCACAGAGATATCCTGTTCGTGATAGCCTCACTTTTGGGGATTCTGATGACTCAGAAATCGATGAAGAAGGCCCTGATTTTGTTGATCTGTCACAGGATATCGAGGAGCCCGAGTTGCCGCCTCTTCCTGCTCCTTTACCCAGCTTCGAGACCAATTTTTCTTCCACTTATCACAGAATCATGAATACATTACACCCCCAAAGGCACACACAATAATAGATCGATATCCCTTGTGCTGTTGGCGGCCAGATCAGAGGCAGAGGTGAAGGCATCGTGGGGCGAGGAAACGGGGCTGGACTGGCCCGCAGTCAAGGTTCACAATTTCGGCCGCAACACCACCGCAAATATGCCTCGCATGATAAAATACTTTTGGCGACAGCTTCAATACTTTTCAATTGAGTCACAGCAGAAATTTCGAATAGATTGCGATAAAATTAGAAGTGTAAGCCAGAGATTTCCTGATTTCCCCCACCTATTTCTAACCCATCAGCTGTCCCAGAATTTTGCCCTTGTCCCAGAATTTTGCCGCCCACTCTATGAGTGGGGTTCCTTTTTAGTCAAACCCACGAGTAGAGCGACAAGGCAGATACAGCGGGATGCAATAAGTTTGAATACCTTTTGAAGTACTGATACCCCCTGTCTAGCCTATTTGGAGTTCAGCCTGCTTCTAATCTGAAGAAGAAGCTCGATCTGGCCAATCACTATATACTTATTAGCCGTGCAAAAGCTGATATGCACGTGGTAGCTGGCTCAAAGAGGCTAGTGGCGAAAGAAGATACACGCCCGGTATTCAAACTTTTTGCATCCCACTGTACTTCATCTCGTATTCAAACTTATTGCACCTCACTGTATTACGGTGTGGCGTTATTAGGGTGGGTGGGGTAGTAGTCAAACATTAGCATAGATAACCTACCGGCAGTTGATACTGTATCTTCTGATCTGACCACAACCTTGCCAACCACTCTAATAGACCTTGACCCGGCACGTACCGCAGATAGCAGGGGTTAGATGCCGGGATAAAATGCCGGGGATATGTCGGGGCTATGCCGAGAGCTACAGTGGGGGGCAAAAAGTATGAATCCAAACGCAAGTAGCTGGCCCGCCCCTAACCCGATTAGGCACGCGTTTTTCCCTGCAGCTTTTGCATGCCAATTTCTTCCCCACAACACACATCACAACACCATAACGATGCCTCGAGGCAAGGAATTATCGCCTTCATTACGGTCTCGTATATGTGAATTACGTAGGCAAGGGCTTACACACTCACAGATCAAGAAGCATTTCCCTGATATCCCTCTCGGCACGATCAAAACGACCCTACGCCGCGAGGCACAACGTGGAGCCGATAATATATCCCTGCCGCGATCAGGCGCGCCACGCAAGCTTACAGAAGAGCAACGGGATCAGATTTATGATACTGTTATAACCGATCCACATATAACAACGAGAGATTTGCTTGATTCTGTTGATAACGCTATTAAGCTGCGTTCCTTACGATACCTCTTACGTGAGATGAACAAGAGAAAATGGATGCAGAAGAAACGTGTGGCCCTGACGCCGCTACAGGCACGCAAAAGGCTCGATTGGGCCATACGATATCAGGGCATCGATTGGCGAAGGGTCAAATGGAGTGATGAGTGTATGGTCCGCCGCGGTCAGGGCGTAAGACCTATCTGGACCTTCCTATCGCCTCGTGAAGCCCTTCGCGTACAGGATGTCAGCGAGGCTAGGAGACAAGGCGCCGTACGGCAGATGTTCTGGGCTGCCTTCGGTCACAGATCTCATACGCCCTTAGTGCCTCTTGTCGGTAACGTCAATGCTATTGGCATCTATGATCTTTATTCTGTTATACTGCCGTGGTTTCTTCAGCCGGGTGATATCTTTATGCATAATAACGCGTCTATACACACCGCCCGCATCGTCAAGGCCCTGCTAGAAGAGCTTCAGGTCCAGCTGATAATATGGCCGCCCTATTCGCCTAATTTGAACCCTATAGAGAATCTGTAGGCGTTAATGAAGGCAGAGATCTATCGGTTACACCCGGAACTAACTCACGCAGAGGATACAGTCGCTACACAACATGCCTTAGTCTTAGCTGCAATAGAGGCTTGGGATAACCTTAAAGAAAGGGTCCTGAAGAACCTTTGCGATACAATGCCGAACCGTATTACTGCTATAATTACTGCTGAAGGCTGGTATACAAAGTATTAAAGCTGTTTTAATTGACCTTATTAGGTCAAAATTGCAATATGAAAGCGGCATCATAACACATGCCTGTTCGGGCTAGCCCGATCAGTCCGGTACTTGCGTTTGGATTCATACTTTTTGCCCCCCACTGTAGATACTGTCCTTTCTGTCGGCCCCGAGACACGGCTTGACCGACTCCTCACGGTAAATGACGGCATATATTGAGTTTAGCCATCGTATCTCAGGACAAGATTATCATAGAATGTCAACTTCTAAATATGCTGACATAGATAAGTGTTTTACGCTCGTATTCTACGTAGCTCCATCGCATTTCAAGGTCTAACTAAGATAACTCTATGAGGACATATGCTCCGTGTATTCCAACTCATGCTATGGATATACTGTACTTTGAGGAAGAAGCTCGATCTAGCCAATCACTATATTCTTATTAGCCGTGTAAAAACTGATATGTATGTGGAAGCTGGCTCAAAGAGGCTAGCGTCAAGAAAAGATACACGCCTGGTATTCAAATTTATTGCATCCCACTATAATTGTCAAACATTACGTGTATTCGGTCCATTGATCCATATTGATATATTCATGTTGTGTTGGGGTTTTTATTTTTATTTTTTTTATTCTACCCCTTAGAGGTTTTACCATTTCGGCTGTAATCTTAAAGTATCCCTGCTTGCACGTGAGGCCCCAGCACCTGTTCAACAATAATCACCTCTTGGCACGGCGATTGATTCTGCCAATCTATCTTAAACAAGAACAAGTCCCCTAAAAATTAATAAGAAAACAAAGTCTATAAGTTTGATTCCTCAAAGGCAATATGATAAACTTTAAACCATGTGGTTTCATTCCCAAAAGTTTATATTAAGCTACCACCTTCTCAGTATGGACATTCTTACGTAAACCAATAGCACGATTTTGATTTACTGTCCTTGCTGGTAGTTTGTGCATGTGATTGATTGGCATTGCCGCTTATGTATCAGGTCTCTAGCACATAAGATTTCTCCGTCTCCACAGTCACTCACAGACGAGACAACTAATTTCAGTATTATCACCTCCCATCACTATCTGAGAAACAATCAAGCAGGGTCAGTGACATCGATGTGGATTACCCTGCTTAGTAGAGGCAAAAAAGCTAATATCCTTGTGGTTCATGGTATTACGGCAGCTGTAAACCCTGGCCATGCCTTTTTGCTCCAATGCTCATCCTTTGTATGTAGGGAAGTGTTCAAGGCAGCAGGATATTCATACATCCATCATAATATTTCAATCAGACTTATAAATCACATGGTAGAGTACCTAGCCCGTAGGATTGGTACGTACAGTACAGTCCCGTTTTGGGTGATGCGCGATGCCGGGCGCAGACTGTTCCCAGCTCCAGTGAGTGCAGGGAGCCACCGACTACATACGTACCTGTTGCTTGCTTCTCTATAAATTTCCCGGACGACTTCCGGTCACCTCAACCTCAACCTTAACGCTCTTGCGCTGCAACCTTTTAAACTGCACAACAGCTGTATCGGCCAACCTCTTATAAAGGCTTCGTTTTGCCTAGTCGGACTGCATTCGCAGCCATCAAACCCCTGTCTCTAACTCAGTCGCTTCGCTCCACCATTGTCACCACAACGGTCTGGTACATTTGTTTTCCATCGCCGGATTCTCGGTCTCGGATGGCCCGCGTCGCAACTCGGCCTCTGGTATAGCTATGTCCGGCGGTGCCATTTCGAACCCTCAACATGCCCAACAGGCCTCCGATTCCGGTCCCCAACTCTATCGTGACGTTCCTGACTTGTACGCTGTGCCTCCTCCCTCTTACAGCGTCTTAATGGATTTTACAAACTTCGACGATTTTGCGTTTGCTTACCATGGTCTTCCTGACCAGTCTTCTCTCGTTTCCGTAGCAGATCACACCCTCACGTCACAATCTCCCACTGCGTTTCCCCAGCACCAGGCCATGTCTGGCCTTGCACATAGCGGTCTGCCGTTCGGCACCTTGCCTACGGGCAACCGCAGTCAGGGCATGGAAGGCTCCGAAGCCTCCCCAGATCGGACATCTCCCGCATCCAACGCCTTCGAAGACCCGACTATCGATGAGTTTGGTTTGGCTTCCCGTAACCGTGCGGATGGCACAGATCTAGGTGGTAAACCTAAGGAGGATAAAGCCGATGCCACACCTGCATGGAGTGGACTTCAGACAAAGGCTGGCAAGGAAAGAAAACGCCTTCCCCTCGCTTGCATTGCATGTCGCCGAATGAAGATCGGTTGTTCAGGCGAGAAACCCACCTGCAAGCACTGTCTACGCTCATGTATCCCATGTGTCTACAAGGGTACGACTCGGAAGGCTGCGCCTCGGACAGATTACATGGCTATGCTCGATAAGCGACCGAAGCGCATGGAAGAACGCGTCATCAAGGCCATATCCAAGTCCGATCAGGAAGTCGCATCATCTGTAACTCGCCACGTGGCCAAACCGGCGATGCCAGGAACTGTACCTTCCAGTAAGCCAACTAAGAAGCGCGGCGCCGAGGAAGCATTCGGGCCTGATCTGGAAGCTTGGGCGAAGGCGCCTTCGGAGTCAAAGGTTGAGGGAGATGATGGGCCCAGCAGCTTACAAGTCCAGGAAGGGGAGGAGAATAAGCTGCAATATGAAGGCACCGAAGTCCTCCCCTCCAAGGAGATACAGGAGCATCTGGCAGAGGTGTTTTTCGATACCATCTGTGGTCAATCTTACCATCTTCTACACAAGCCAAGCTATATGCGAAAGTTAAAGTGAGTTTTTGGGTTGAATCTCACGTATCCTGCTAACTGTCAATAGATATGGCACACTACCTCCGGTGCTTGTTCTCACAGTGTGCGCTGTAGCTGCTCGTTTTCCCTCAAACCCCCTAGTGAATTCTTCAGGGCCTGAATTCTTACGCGGCGAAGAATGGGCATCATACGCTCGATATATTTGCACCAGACGATGCGAATGGCCAAACCTCACCATCTTGACATGTATTCTCATTTTGGGCCTTCATGAATTTGGAACGTGCCAGGGCGGCCGTAGCTGGGCCTTGGGCGGGCAAGCTATCCGAATGGCTTTCGCTCTCCAGTTACATAAAGACTTGGAATACGATCCCTCGGGCCGTAATGGCACCAAAACGCAGCTCAGCTTCATTGATCGAGAGATTCGGCGACGCATAATGTGGGCCTGCTTTCTCATGGATCGCTTCAACTCTTTTGAGACAGATCGACCCATGTTCATCAGGGAGGATACAATTCAGATTCCTCTGCCGGTAAAGGAAAGGTACTTCCAATTCGACATGGCTGTGCCCACCGAGATGTTGGACGGTCGAGTTCCTCATCCGCCGTCGGCCAACGACGGACAAATCGCTGATGTGCGAGAGAACATGGGAGTTGCGGCCTTCCTGATTCGAGCCATTGCCTTATGGGGACGGATCATCACTCACCTGAGCCAAGGGTGTAAGGATCTAGACCCCAATCCATTGTGGGAGGACGAGTCTCACTACATGAAGCATCTCAATGATGTTGTAAACCTTGAGGCTAGTTTGCCCTCGTCACTGAACTACTCTGCAGAGAACCTCGAGCTCCACAAGACAGAGAACATGGCAAGTCAGTTCCTTTTCATGCATATCTGCCTGCAGCATAACATTCTCTTTGTGAGTCGAGCTGCTATGTCAGAACGAAAGCAATATGGTGTACATGATGATTTCTCCTCTGAAGCAAGCAAGAGGGCCTTCAACGCTGCGAACCGAATATCCGAGCTTCTTCGTGAGGCTGAACAGTCGCGAAGCTTTGTTTCGGCCCCGTTTGCTGGATACTGCGCCTTTTCCTCGACAACAGTTCACATCTTGGCTATTATCTCTCGCAATCCTTCCATGAAGCCAACAGCCGAGGCCAGTTTAGCTACCAATGTCAAGTATCTTCACAAAATGAAGAAGCATTGGGGCATGTTTCACTGGATGGTGGAGAACGTTCGTACTCAGCATCTAAATGCCTTGGACTCTATGAGTGCTGGTGCGAATGTCCAAGAACGCGCCACACAGTCATCTTTTCTTCAATATGGAGACTGGTTTTACCGTTACCCTCACGGTCTTTCTGACGCTGAGTTCATGAACCCTGCCACTCACAAACGAAAGGATTCAGGAGCAGACGGCGTCCTCGAAGCGAAGCCCAAACTACAATCAGTAGAGGAATACTTCTCCACGCTTCCGACACCACAGAGTGCCGAGCATAAGGGTACCATCCGTGCAGCAGCCCCCAAAAGAAAACAGAGCGCCAAGAAACAGGCCGGTATGCCAGCACAACCTGGCCAGCATCTCGAGTCCTTGCAATGGACAGATGCAGACTCAGTTTCTCCAGCGGGAGCTCAGGAACGTAGATTATCGAGTGGATTGGGATTGCAAACCAGCAATGCTGCCGGGTTCAGCCCCCTCGCAGTATCAAACCCACAGACCGCAGCTTTCAGCACAGCCATGTCACCTATGAGCCTGGCCAACATGACCGCCTGCTCCCATTACGCTCACACCCCCATCTTCTTCCCACCGGAACTGCTTGCTATGAACTTTGGGCAGGGTGCAAATGGAAACATTGACCCACTTGACCGTCAACTTGTCTTTGGAGGATACTCGATGGACGCCACAGGTTTGGGTGGTGCCCAGGATATAATGAGCGGTCTTGACTTGGATGCGGTCGCTTCAGGAGCTCAGCCAGATGTAGGCTTGAAAGGTCGGCGGCCTACTGGTAAGCCAGGCGTGAATGGGCAAACGGCCGGTATGGCTGATGGAGCAGGACTGAGCGGACCAGAAGCGTCGTCTGCGTGGCTCATACCACTCAACATGGGTGGAAATGACCCACCCATTTACGAGAGTGTTTGGCGGAGGAGGCAGTAGTTTGGCAACGCCGAATGCATTAGGTGGGCTACAGCAACAGGGTCCTTAGGAGGGACGGTCGGAGTGGTTAGCCTGGGTAACACCATAATTCCGGAGGTCTTCGTGACTCCTCCAGAAAAGGACGCAACCAGAGACCGCGTCGTATCATATACAAGGTCGACAACTGCTGGGTCTGGTTATCGCGAACAACGTCGACAGGCCTCCTTGCTCGAATCTTCGGGTCGTCAGAGTGTTGAAAACATTTCTTCCTGCAGCGCACAGAGACGATAGGTCAACTTGTCAGGCCGATGGATCCAATGGACCAGGTTATGGAGCTTCCCAATGGAACCTTTCTTTCTCCAGATCTCATGCTGGGCAGCGCCAGAACTAGATTCTCCATCAATATCTGCTTCAAAAGCCTTAGTTTTGTAACTAAACAACAGGACTTTCACCACCAAATTGGGGACATGGCCGAAGCATCGCACTCTTCGTTTCTTCGAATCGAATCCCAGCACCTCCACAATCTCCTCCATTGCTGTATCCATATTCCCAGCGTTGTCAAGCGTGATGTACCCCATCCTATCCAGTATCTCATAGCTCTCCAAGATCTCGAGGATCTGAGTTGCAATATTTCCCCCCGAATGGCAATTCTTCAACTCCGGTAGGCCAAGGACTAATTTCGACGGGACTCCAATTTTGTCTACATAAAAGTAGACAACCCCATACAGAGCATGCCGATTCCTTGAACGCCAGCCATCGAACGTAATATGAATCTGACCTGGAACACTCCTTAAGTGGTCGATTATGCGTGTCTTTTGTTGGAGATGAAGGTCGATGATTCGCCTTCGAACCGTGTCATAAGATATATGGACATTCGTCGCTGCAACCGATGGGTTCGAGTGTTCGAATATATGTCAAAGCTGGCCATGCTCGGGCTGGCGAAAAGAGATATTGGCGTCGACCACCCACTCAAGTAGCAGTTTCTGGAAGTGGCCCCTGTCGAAACGCTGTAGGAGGGCGTTCGCGATTGCTTACTCTTTAGGGTCTGAGCCGTCAAGACTCAGCATCTCCACAATGTTCCTTGAGGGAGACTTCTCCTGCTTTCCCTTCCAAAGAGCGGGCGGCTTCCTCCTCCCGGACTTGTGGATAAGCCCGTGCTCCTTGAACAGATGTTTTCCGATATTCTGGGTGCCAACAGCAGAGAAATCTGTCATCTTGGGATTAGCCTTCCGAAGTCAATGCTTGCAAACCCATTTCATCTTCGTGGGAGAATCACGGGCTTGAATGTCAAAGCCGTGCTGCCAAACCTACGAAATCTGCCTGCCAACGGGTTCGGAAATCAAGAAACCCGGGAACATGTTCCATGGAAAGGTTTTCCAATCATCTGGCAAGGCATCCAGGTTGTTAAGTGAGGGAACAGATGCGCTGTATTCTGGACTCTGGCGCTTGACAGGTACGTTGGCGTTCATTTGAAGTCCAAGAAAGGAACAGAACGCATGCAATGATCTCCCTGTAAGGGGTTATGGTGCGCGACGAAAGCTGAGACGCGTTCACAAACCCCCTGGTACGAGGTAAAGTTGACATGTGTACCAAAAATGAGGGGCAAAAGGTATTGGTGAGAAAGTCGAGCGGACGCGTCTCCTGGGACTACCGGTAGACGGAGTAGGTGCTACCCTGAACCGCTAGGCTTTCCACGGCCGACTCTACCCTCAACTCTCTCCTGTAAAAATTTTTCCTTGGCACCCGCTGTTAGCGCTCTGCTAGGCGAGAGAATTTTTACAGGCCAAAATGGCAACAAAAGCAACTGTGGGACTAGCGGGACCCTAACAGCTGCCAGAAGAAAGGGATTCGGAGAGTTGACCTTTCTTCGTGACAAGTGTCTTTAACGGCACTGAGCTTCGCGAGCTCTTGACATCGCCTCCGGGCACCATTTCATTTGTCTTTATCTGCGACTTCTTCTTACCTCGACATTTCGGCTTCGCGAGCCTGCGACATTCTGGCCTCTGTGCCCCTCGACTTCCCGTACAACCGACTTCTGCAGCCTCGGCTGCCCAGACGACATTCGCAGCATCTTGCTGCTTGACATCGAGGGTCATCGTGCCCTCACCCTCACTCTCACCTTCGCCTGCAGTTTAACGCTGCCTCGACCGACTACAGCAGCTTTGGCTGCCCGAATAACATAAACAGCCTTCGGCTGCTCAACTTTCTGGGCCCTCTGGTGCCCTCGACCTTGACGCATGGACCCCACATAGTTCGTTGCCCTTTTTGCAGCTCGGAAGCTGCTTGACCGATCTCTGTAGTCGCATACTGCCTAGAGACTCTCCTCTTTCTTTCTGCAGCCTCGGCTGCTGCCCGGAACACAACCGGGCCTCGACGATATGTCTCACTGGATGAGACCACTAGACACAAACCGCTGGGTCGAAATGGTACAAAGCTTTACCTGGAGACCGTGGATCAGGGCAATTGCCTCGTCTACAGAGCAGCGTTCTGGCCGCCTTGGGTTTTTCCCCTTCGAGGGGTTTTCCCAAGGATGCACGGTCCTAGGGTTGCAGCTACTGGCGATCTTAGGGATTATAGTTCTCCTGCCCTTAGGCATGGAAAGCTACTTGATCTATCTGTGCAAGAGAATTCTAGGCTGGAGAGGAATAGTTCCCGCTGACGGGATGACCTCTTGGAAGTAAAGCGCCTCTGTGCCGATGATATGCTGGATGAACTAGATAGAAGCGTTGCTGGAGGGAAGCTCTGCTAAGATCAACTGTATTAATATCCATAGGACGTGCTTCACCGACAACTACTATAGAGCTGGCTACGAGTAGAGAGGTGCCTCTTGGGGGGATAAGTACAGAAAACGCTTAAGCATATATATGGCTCTGACGCAAGAGGCCTTGCAGATAATCCAAGCAAGCATCAGCACGGCAGCGATTATAGATAGTTTAGCTCAGCACGTCCTGTGCTCCATTAGGAGACTTTTTAGGGCCTACGGCCCCCCGGACAAAAAATATACATACATACATACAGACTCTACCCTCTCGGCCAAGGCCTTCCTCCAGTGGGTTGAGACGGTGGACCCAACCACCTGGATCGTATACTCAGATGGCTCACTGTCCCAGCGCTGACTTCAATTCAAGTAAGTCAAGTTTAGGGGTCCAACTTGATTACTTGAAATAAAATCGTCTATAGACTTACTTAACTTGAATTGAATTGATATACTTGAAATGAAGGTGCTGACCTGAAGCTCCAATAAAGCTATTAAGCCTCCCCTCCCTCCCAACCTACCAAGTCCCCACCAAAGCTAACCACCTCACCCATAGTGATCGCTTAATGGCATAGCCAGTTTCATAGACACTGCATCTCCTCTATTATCTCGGGGCTTATGCTGTGCCTTTGCGAGCTTACCGTTAACTTGGTGACACTAAATGTCCGCTTAGGGTCAACAGACATGGCAGGAATTGCCAGGATATCGAGGGCAAACTTGCTTAGACGTGGGTATTCTTCTTGATGATCCTTCCACCACAGGACAGGGTTCAAGTTCTCTCGCCGCACTGGCCCTTGCCTCATATAAACGCCAAGCTCATCTTCTTCCTCTATTATGCACTAATTACAGCTCTATATCTACTGGTCAAATTGACTAGGCTCGTCTTGTCGCACCGCTTTTCCTGTCACCATCCTCGATATCTCAGGCTGCTCTTTACGTGGATAGTGCTGTTTAAAGAATTCCTGGATACTGTTTTTAGCGTCTCATAGCCATACTAGTTGCTTGTTGCTAGTCCAGTTCGCCTTAAGCCAAGACACGTTCCAGCGTAGGTGAAGAATAACGGCAGCCAGATAAAGTGGCGATTGGCCTAGTAGGCTGTAATACTCATTAAGCTTTAACCAATAGTTCTTAATAGAGATCTAGATGCATCATCGGTGATCATTATTAAGATTCTTATCTTGCAAAACTACATTAGTGTATTCCTCTTAAGCGTGCTGTGGCAAGTGTTTCTCTTATCCGCGGCCCTGCTTAATTCATTAAGTGCTAGATCCTGAGAAACCGTTAGTTAAAGAAGCCTGAAGAGAACGAAGATGAATTAGGGGAGTTATACTTTTGGTTACTGAGACCCTGAAATTTCTCAGCTTACTAATACTATTATCAGGTAACGAGAATATTAGGTTTTATTCCTCGAAGAAATTAAGCAAGTACTCTATTCTAATCATTACTTCCCATAAGGCGCCATGGCATCCTTCTTTAGCCTAACCCTGGCACCTCATAGTGATCTCATAGAGCGGTTTAAGTAGACTCTGTATCTCCGCCAACAGAAGCCAGTCCTATGGTAAAAGCTGATCTTGGATAGGCACCCGCTGTCGGGGCTCTGATGTCTTCGTTTCGAGATATGCAATAAAATGGTTAATGTGCTCTTGCTTTCGAATAGCACGCTGGATTATTAGAAAGGTTAAATTCCATCTGGTTTTATTATTTTATATCAGCTCGAGGTCGATGGCAGCTCACTCCTCTTTAAAGAGTTAATAGCCATCTTCGTCGTTCTGGTTATAAGCCAGGGATTTTATCAGCTCTCTCTATTGCAGGGAAGCCCTAATAAACCAGACGATATTATACAGCTTGCCCACCACTCCCCGTTTCCGCCAGAGCCAAAGCTCACGCTCTTCAACTTAGAAAGCCGCCTCAGTAAAGGCTTCTCGCTTAAACGAATCAGGATCTTCTCCCCAGAGAAAGGCTCAAGCTGCAAGGTTAAGAATATGCCTAAAGCATCTTATTCGATAATTTCTAATATCTTCTTCCGCTATTGCAGGATAAAGTTAATAATAGAGGCTCGCCAAGCATGTATCATTGGACAAGGCGTTATCGCAGACACCTATGCTAGTCCTATCTTATATCCTATACTTGCCCAAGATATTATATATTATCGCTGCTTGGTTATCTCCGGAATAAGATCCCTATACACAGCGCAGAGCAAGGAGTCGCGACTGGACTTAATAGGAGGCATCGAGATAGTAGGCGTGGAGGCCAAGGAAAGCATACCAGTTTAGAGAAGTCTATAGGTCAAAGCTAAAGCTAATCCTTATAACCGCCTTCTGCAATTAACTTAATATTACTCCCTTCTTTACCTCGAATAATTTCCGCATAGTATCACGCACTAACTGCTGACTCTATAGTACCTCTTTTGCTAATAATGCATTATATAAATCGAGTATTTGGCGCAAGTACGGATTCGATGGCGCCATAAATAGAAGATTAGCAGTAATAATCTAGCTGACCGTTAACTCCTTTGCTTTATTAATATTCGATCTTACAGTAAGAGACTCTAAGTAACGCCGCTTCGAGGGTAGGTAAATGTCAGCGCGAGATAAATACGAATCTGCATCCATATTATTATCCGCCTCGGTGATCATATAAGACCTATATCTCGTAAGACAATGGAGAAGTAATAAAGATCAGGCTCATATAGATATTATTTACCTTCGGAGGTGCTCAATTGGCGATGTTGTATTTGTGGCGACGAATAATAAGCTCTTGCCTTATTTATCACATTTCGAGCATACCCAGTAGGTCTGCAACGTCTGCAAATCAGGGCTGACTTCTGTAAGAAAGAAGCCATAGGCTTAGATCCAGCTCCTCCGACCTTTGCGATTCTTATTGGCAATATATTCTTCTGGTATATATTTCTTACAGCTAATCTGGATAGTTAGGAGGTCGGCGAGGGTTATTCTTCTAGCTTTAGTCTTAATGGATGCAGCATTAAGCTGCTACTTGAGTGATTTGCGATGGCTACTAATTCCCAGAAGCGATTCTAACGACTGTTATTATGCTGCTATAGCGGGTTACCGGCGAATCGCGGAATACAGATGCTTCTTATCAGGGAGCGACGTTAATTCTGAACCAGGTGTTTCCAGTACGCAAGCAAACGCAAAACACATAGTCGCGCCACCCCTGCCGCGTTCCTAGGTTCTAACGTCCGTCACCCAAAGACTGGCCACCCCCACAGACCGGCCACCTCACTTTTAACCCAGCCACCCAATTTATATA